CAAATATCTTCAAAAGTCATCAGTTAATGAATGGAAATTTGAGAAGAAAATGAAAAATTATTAACTGGGCTTTAATTTGACGTGCGTTTCGAATGCCTGAGAAAGTGAGTATTTTTCCTGATTTGTTGAAGTTCGGCGGGTATTTATTACTGTTGGCTATGGCAGTTTGTTTACTGGCCTGCAACCATTAATTAAGGAATGGCATGTACGAAGTGATACCCATTGATCATCTCCAAGCCTGGATAGGACATCGCGTCAAAAACGCGTCCCGCGTGTTTTCAGGAGGGTAATTAACGAACGTTGGAAATTTTGTTGCGTGCACTTTCAAACGGAGATTTCAAAACTGCTGGTTATAGTTACTGTACGTCAGTCGTCAGATTTTAGAGAAAAACTGAATTCTGCCCCCGGCATAGATAAATTTGAGGTGTGCGCAGCAGAGAATTGCCGGAGATCGATGGCAAAAGCAAGTTTGGAAGAAGGAGTGCTGTAATGCTTGACTTTAAGCCTACACGTAGGTCGGGACCGTCTTAAATGTTATTTATCGGCAAAATTGATTTTAAGAACTTAATTAATTTGTTATTTATTGTCCCATGATTTCACCGGAAAAATCTCCCAGAAAGCCATGATTTGTGTTTGTGAGATCTGCAGACATGTTGAGCCTAAACAGTGTGACAGACAATGTAATATGAGTGACGGAATATTCATCTTTAGGGCAGAGATGAAACTAAAGCGAAAGACAGAGAGCTGACGTTTCCGTCGAGTGAAGTAACAAACAAGGAAAGAAACTTTGTCTAAATTATAAAATTTTTTGTTCTCAGTTAACACTGACTTTTTTCTTTTCGGAAAGTAGTTGTTAAATGTAAATCTTTAGTCAAGTTGGGAACTCAATTTTTTTAGAATCTGATTTATGAGTGTTTGTGGTAAAAGTGGCACCAACTTGATTAGTTTGGCTCACATTCAAAGTTCTGCTCATTTTGTGCTCACAGAAAAGATTCTCACACTTATCGGTTTTCAATAAATTTATTATGAATGAATTTCAGTACATTGTTTCCTGTCAATGTGTAAAATTAAAATTAAATCTTTTATTGATGACGTTTTACAGTGTTGGCTCATTCAAATCAGCATGGACAGTTTGAACATCATAATGTAAACCTGTTGGGGGTCTTGGTGGAACTTTAATGTTTACACACTCAACAAATCGCGAATGAACCGACCCAAAGTGAAAACATTGCCCGAGCAATACCGTAGACAACACGTGTGAAAAATGAAAAAAAACCAAAACCAAAATAAACACAACACAGACACACAAAAACAGGTTAATCATTATCACTTTCGAGTGGGTTATTTAAAAAGAAAATGGTCAGTTAATTCTAGAAATGATATTCTTAATAAATTTTGACTAAATGCACAGCATACAGCGTCACATTACCCTCCTGAAACGCAGCGCGCCTTCATTGTTCGGCCGCGCATTTTGTACACACACACAATGGGCGATGTCCTATCCAATGAAGATCAACGGTGATACCTGCTGGGGCGCATCCATGTTTGTGCACAAACCTATGGACAATTCGAAATTTTGTACGGCATTTGTACGGCTATTTGCATATCTGCATCTGTATTCTGAAACAATACGTGAACAAAGCCAACACGCAAACAACGCACAATACGCGCGTTTCATAAAAGTGCGCATCCAAGATAGAGTTTGCAACGCTCGGGCCAATCACAACGCGCGAAATCTGTCTACCCTTTCCAAAAAAGGCCGTGTCCAAAACGGGCCACGGCTAGGTCTATTGTCTACACGTCTCCACATACAGTGTATTTCCAATGGAGGAAGGACCTAGACGTAGGTCTAGAAACACATTCGGATGCAGCCAAACGCTCATTGGGTCGACAGATTTCGCGCATTGTGATTGGTCAACGCGTTGCAAACTCTTGGAGGCGCCCTATTGTGAATCGCCCATATTAGTAATGAGCGTTTCATTATTTGTGTTCTGTGCCAAAAAAACGCAAACGCGTATACAAGTATTGGCTAGCTGATCTCTGACCTTAATTCAAGGTCAGCAGGTCAGGGAGGACCTTGTAGACGTGGACAAACAAGATTTATCTTAGATCAGCACAAAATGTTTAGCAGAGCGATATACATGTATTATGTTCATTTAAAAACAGGGACAGTAATTTTCCTGTACTCTTGGAATATTTTGCTTAAAGTGCAGCTGCAATGATTTTCTTCTTTGACACAACTTTCCCGCAACATAGTACTCTCTTTTACATTCCTATCTGCTGAAATGCATTGAAAAGTGCCCCGTTTAAAACGCTTAAAATTATCCATGCTTCCTGGACAACTGAGG